AAAAACATTGAGGCCCACTTAGCTGTTATACAGGTACAAAATATAAACACACACACACACAAATAAGACGATATAAGAAATATAGATGTGTGTCATATAAAAATCTCGAAGTTGATTCCAATAAACATTTTCAGACTCTTGATCAGCGTCCGTGGCCCAGTACCACATTTCTCGCGGCCCACAAAGCCAAAAGTGGGCCCCGGTCTATTGGTTGGGAACCACTGATCTATAGAACATGCCTAACCAGCTAATATTGCTAAATTAATACATTAGTTTAGGTGAAACGTATACCGCTTATACTGCATATAGTTGGCATTAAATACGATAGTCGATATTACAATAAGGTATATCCTACTCCAATAATTTGAGTCAAGTTTTTTTGTATTTCTGAAATCGTAGGCACATCAATGTGGTCAGTGTGTGGTGTACAATTATTGATCATTAATAATGTTTTTACGATCATATTATAGGACTTATACGAGTTCTACGGAACCATGGAGATGGAGGTATCTATACCTATACATCATATGTAAATACCATATTGTATGATTATAGGATTCTAACCATGGCTTTTGTTGATAGGATTGTGTGTTTGTTCGGTAGGAAATTATATATTATTTATCATTTATATTAGGTATCACATTTGTGTCTGATAAATGTGCGGTCGTAAATATTATAGTCGTATAACATCAAAGAATCGTAGATCCGCCCTTTTAAATATGTGTGTGCGTGTGTGTGATAGGGGACATCGGTATTCGGTAATACATGTTATGCATATATCTATTATTATAAAACTTTACTGTGCGAAGAGTGTTAGGTACCATCAGACTACCAGCCACCAGGGCTTATTTTAAGGATTTTTATTTAGTAAGCAGCGCATGATTGATTTGATGCACTCCTCACTCGGCCCGCACGCCCGCCACACCAATCAAGCTAGAAAGTTGGCACCCACCCACCCCATATTTTTATTTTCCATTTAGATTTAAGCAAAATACGTTCAAAAGCACGTCGAAATATATGCCCTGCTGTATAGGCCTGTTGTACACACTCGTATCTACTCAGCGCGCCGCAGCAGAAGTTATTCACAGTTGGCATGTATATATACAAGCCATATTTTATAATAATATAATATACATTAGGAAATATGTTCTTACACAGGTACATACATAATATACTTAGGTACTATATAATCTGGCTTGGGCAAAATTTTGCTTTTTGGGAGATGGCCACATAATTTGTGATGTAGGGGAGGGCTAACTAGAATTCCTCATACGCGTTTGGTGTACCTATATATATCGATGCCGTGTGACGAAGTGGGTTAGGTCAGGTCAGGTTATACGTTGTAGGTTAGGTATCTACCTACAACGTTTTGGAATTTCGCTGCAACATTCATACAAATCATAATTTTATAATACGCAGCTGATATGTCTCACGTGTATTACGTTTACCGACACTGAATGCATTTTTAAGTGTTCTCAAGACTTCAGAGATGGTCGTAGACTGCAGACTGCATGTGCACTACGTTGTATGTATATATATATATATATATATATGCATATTAGGCGCAAAAAGGGAGGTGATAAGGTGGTATTAGGACACCAAATTTTTAAATTAGCACTTTCTAATAATGTTCATGATGTTTGCGTATCAAAAACATTTCCTTACAAAAAAAAAAAAAACATGCATAGCTTAAGCGCACTTAGTTTTTTTTTTATTGGAATTGCGCCTATGGATTTATTGTACTTAGTACTTACTTGTACTACTTACTATTCTGTTAAGATATTGTTGTGAGTAAAAATCTCAATTAAACGGATATTATGATTGGATAGCATCACAAACATGACAACGCCGTAGCATTACAAAGTCCATTGTTTTTCAAAAATCAATCGATCGTAGGTAACAATACCTATATATATATATATATATAGGTACTCGTAATAATTTAAAATTTAAACATAATATAGGACAGGCACAGTAGGCACATGTGTTTTAACAGCTCGCCAATCGACATTATTATAGTCTCGAAGAGCACAATATTATCATTTGTTAGTGTAATAGTTTATAGTATTGAATATTTAAATCGTGGATGAACATAATATTATCATTACGGTTTAGTCCTTGATAGAAAACGATCGGAATGAAATGCGCGCAAAATGTGGTTGATTAATCCACATAAACTATCATATTGTATATTATTTTATTATTATAATTATGAACGTTTACAGTATACAGTACCTACCCACATGTGCCTATATATACCCAATATTTAATGTTGTGCCGTAAAGCTATTTATTTTGGAGGCCACGTTGACAATTTCATAGTAATATTACGGTGCGTTATAGTTTATTTGTAATGATATAAATTTAGATTACAATAAACATTTTGTTTAAACAAGCCCGGGATTAAAAGTARCACATAGGCTGCAGATTAAATAATATTTTATCTACAAGACTACAAAGTATACACAATATATTATGTTTATTATTAATGTGTTAAAGATTAATATTATGTATTTTACCTAAAGTAATGTTCGTAAGACAACACTTAGCTTTTGGCCGTAGMTGCAGGTTATAATATTATTTATATTAGTAATAACATTTAAAATTGATATTATATTAGGTAGATAATAATAAATAAATTATAGATGCGTTTGGAATTTAGTTTGATTTAGTCGGGAATCAGAATGTATAACTAAAAGACGTCGTGAGTACCTTCAGTGCTGTAGATATATTTAAATTGTTAATACGAATGAGCTAACTCTAAAACAAATTTACAATAAATGTCACGTGTAAATATAATATTTTGTTCTCGCGTTAAATTATATAATATTTTGATTTAAAATTACATTTATTGATGTTAAATTAATTCGATAAACGCATATTATATAATATAATATCTATGATTAATTAGCATTATTAT